ATATCTGTATGCGTATGTATATCCAGGCCAAGGACGGAGCCCGTCGAGCCCCGTTTCTTTCATCTCTCATTCACCCTCTATTTTATTAATCTCCGCTCGATTCATGCTGGAATAGTGGATGAAGAAATATTTCGCCAAGTCGCGAGATTGAAAGAAAAAAATTGAAAGAAAAAGAACGAGCCAGCGAGATCGATGATTCGCGAGTCTTCCTCCTTCTTCCCGTCTATAACAGATCGGTTTATTATGTGCTATGAGACTTGAATTTTCTCCATTTGTATCTCCTACGCCTCTTGGGCGAACGACGCGGAAATTGCACTTTTGTGATTGCAGTGATTGCTCATTCATGGCGCGGAGTTCTCGCGATGAAACTATCGCGCTCTTGTGTGACGCGATGAAACGCTCGCGCGATTAAGCGATTACAAGTGAAACAAAAACTGCTTCGTGCATTGAAATTGAAGTATTATTGAATAATTTAAATATTAAATATTATTAAATAATTTAAATATTAAATATTATTAAATAATTGAAATAAAATCTCTGTTCAAAATAATAAAGTAACAATAAGGTATTTAAAAATATGTTAGAAATATCCTTTTCGAATTTTGCCAGCGCGGCTCTTCTTTGAATACACAGCAAATGTAACAGCTGCCAGCTGCTGCATACACAATCGTTTACACACATGCGCGCGCGAATATCGTATAAATACTTCGCAATCAATTACACCACGATTATTATACTAGCCCGCGCGTACGTGTTCCGCACAGAAGTGCAGATTTCACGGGCCGATGCTTCGATCAATAGAAACCGCACGATGTGTCATGTGTCCCGTTTTGCGCAAAACAACGCATCTCCGATTCCAGAATCCACGATTCGCGCGCGTCGATTTACAAAAGCGAAGATATGTATATTATTCTCATTATATACGCGCGTAATTGTACACGTTTAATCGTGTACAATTCGTGGGCGCAGCAAATATCGTTTTGTGCATTTTTACTGAGAAAAAAAAAGTTGTTAAAATAATTAAATGCGTTTTGTTGACAGTTTTTCTTTGGTTCAATTATATATGTTTTTGAATTAAACATACATCAATAACATTAGCATGATATTTTTGTGAATTAACAAATATTTATTTGACAGCCCGTGACCGCCAACTGCCAAGTATACAGCTGAATCAAAAAATATTCATTTGATTTTACACTTTTTTTTCTCAGTGGAACGTATAAAGTTCTCACAGATTTTTCGGAACGTGAAGATAATTCATATAGACCCTCTCTCGCGCGGCTTCGAAGTTCATCAAATATCCCGTCTCGGTCGACCTCTTCGCGCACATTTTCACGGTGATCAAATAAGCCGCGATCTCTATCGCCTGTTATAATGCACGGTATCCAATCCCTGCCCGCCGCGTTTCTCATCCGGCGGAAGGAATAGGGGAGGGAAGGGAATATTTTTCGAGAGAGAGAAAATTTCTCTTGAACGATGGCACTTAACGATTCGCCTTTGCAACTTGCTCTTTGTCCATAAGACTGGCCGGCGAAGCGCTGATGGAAGCGCGATTTCCGATAATACCATTGTAAACGCTTCACCGCGCTGTACGCAAAGCGAGAGCGCGCTGAGTCGAACGAGCAAAGTGACCCAGCCGCCTTTTCATTGGGTTTCGCCCGTCGAAGAAATGCGCAACAACAAAAACCGTTGTACATTATCACAGGTAACGAATTAAAAAAGACGCTCGAGCGCGCGGAAAATATAAAAATTATATAAAAATATGGACCACGAGAGGAGATCTCGATACGACCAATATTTGAGAAAGAACAGAGAGACAACTTCAGAAAGGGTTGAAATAACATTCCTCGCAACGCACTCCTGTATCTGCGTCGTAGTTGAAACAAGCAAAACGTATCTGATCTGAAAATAAGTGATCATTATGTATAACGTGATTCTCCAATTCTAAAACGAGACTGGATGCAATCTCTTTATATACCGAGAAGTACACGAGACAGAAAAGAAGCTTCTCCTCTTCTGCACGAACAGCGAAAAATAATTTTGATAGTTCCAAACTGAGTATTATCGTGAAAAAACCTTAGGATATCCAAAGAAATTACTTAAAAAGAATAAAGATATCATAAAGAGGACATCATAAAGGGAATATCATAAAAAGAGAGCAAACGCCAAGGTTTCAGAAACATTTCGTGCATTTCAAAAATTAATGCGACTCCTCAATTATTTGGGCAAGCAAGGGCTCGGTATATATTACTGCGGTGGTAGTCCCGCGCCGGTAGGAGAGAACACTTTCCTCGAAGAGAAATCGCGCGAAAGGTACACTATAATTTCTAAGTGGTATCATATCTCTGTCGGGGACCTAAGTACAAAAAGGTTCGCAAGATAAAGGGCGTATGAATAATACAAAGGCAATTTCCGGGAGAGGAGATACACACCGCACACGGTATCACGTGCGTGCAAGTGCAAATAACCGCGCTCAGGGGAGAGAAATCGAATTTTCTGCGGGCACATAGGACGATTTAGCGGCGTGCGTAATCAAAGGACTGACGGCCGAGGCAAATTAACCAGCGATTGTGCAAATCCGGCGCAAACGTGAGCTATAAATGTAAAGGGTTTTTAATCTATACTAATTTGTTTTCACGCGCGCGCACGTATGAAACGTGAATGACGTAGAAGTATTAACGTGACGTAGGAATATATATTCCATCGTGGATATTACTAGAGAATCGTATTTATTTTATATATAAACTCGAAAAAACCATGCGTTTCATCTTCCTAAATTAAAATAACTGACGTTTCAGTAACTGGATTTCTGTACGCTTCAGTATGAAGATTAAAATCTGTCCTACGCGTATATCTCTGAGAGCTTCAGACGGCAAGGTAGTTAAATAAAAAGGTAAATACAGCAAAATAAATCTGTCGTCTAAATAACCGTTCTCCCGACTTTTGAATTTATATACGTACTGATGCAAGTGTAGTAAAAAATTTTCTTCGAGAGTTCGCCGCTTCCGCATTTTTAGTTTCGCCCTCTGAGAAATTTCCCGGAAATGCACCGTGTCGAAAAGTCTACTCATGTAAGAGCGCCTCTCTGATTCGGACAAATAAGAGTACGTCTCGCAATAAGGCGCGAGGCGAACGGCATGTGCGTGGCGCGACGATGTGTGTTCTGAAATATTTCGCTCCTTCTCGCGAACTTGTCGCGCGGTTTTTTTTTCCTGCCCCGTCTCGACATAACGTACGTTAGTTCATTTTCCCTCACGCCTCACTGAGCTTCGTTATAAGCATTCTACGAAGAATTCCGCTCTTACGGAATGAAATACGATCGTTACGCGAAGTGCCTCAGCTCGGCGGCGGCGCGCGAGGAAAGCGGCGAAAAAAATAATAAAATGCGTAAAAAGCGGAGATATGATACGGGCGAAAGGATTCATAGGATCCACAGAACGCTGGCGTAATGATTTGTTTTCATTGAAGAAGGAAATAATTTATATTGTTACGTTATACGCGCGCGAGCGAGGAAGCGAATTTCCGAAGTGCAACGCGCCATGAATTCTCTCTGTGTGAACCGCGGAGTATAACAAAGCACGACCTACTTCAAAAGAAATCATTATTTGTCGACTCGCACACTCGGACTGTTTCGAGTAACGATAAAATTCTCAAGTTACGCTAAAATTAGAGAAGCATTGCTCCTATATATTAATCTCGGTGAAATTCAATTGAGTTAATATCAAATGCATATAAAAATTTTGACGATGCTCAGTGATTATAGACGAACCCAAAACGATCGTCACAACGCTGAAAATTATATTCGCTCGAAATTTAAGAAAAAAATTTTTTTAAATCTTTGAGAGGATTCTCAGAAAATAAAATCATAAATATTCACAAATAATATTAGAGTGATATTAAATAAATCATGAATATTACATACGAAAATCAAAGAGATTATAATAGAGCTGGGAGATCAATAGAAATTACAAATAGTTGACTGATAATACATTCAATTAAACGATAATATTCGTTTGTAATCGTATTACTCTAATGCAACGCAAACCCCAAATGTGTCCCGCTGGCAAAGCACGGAATGCCGTTAGCTATTTTGCTAAATACGCACATGTGCTTCGCAGCCATTCTAGGAAATCAAATCTCTATTGAATGCAGTAGAAACGAACGATTGAATACGAGTAGACATCAAAATGCATGGGACACATGTTCCACGTCGCGATCAATATCGCACGCTCTTTTAACCTTTTTATGTTGATTGAAGCCAATGGCTTGATAAGTGCCATTTAGCATTTATCATGCATTTGAAAAATATACGTGTATATTATAAATAAATTGTAAATATATTATAAATAATATTTCATTAATCTTCATTTTGTACTATAAAGAAAATAATTTCTGTGATGGAGATCAGTGCTAATATAAGCCGCCTTTATACAAGCTTTTCAGAATCTTCCTCCTGTATCTGCGGGCGAGGAATTAATTAAAACTTTCCAGTGTAATTTTCGGACCAAGGGTAGAGTTAAAGAACGGATTAATTTTTCTCTGACACACAACGAGTAGGCGTAAACGCCCGAAAATTGTGGTCAAAATTGAATACAACCTGCGCAGATATTTTCTTTTTAAATATTAAAATGCCTGTCTCAAAATAATCGCATACACGGTGTTCAGGAAAGGCGAAGAGTAAGCTCGACGTTCGAGATAAGTGTGAGTTAAGTTATTCGCCCGTGCTTTCAATTTTGCCTATCTAAAAACAATTTAAACGAAACGCTGTTTTACGCGAGGTTGCAGCGATAACGTAAGCGCTTGACGCGACGTGCGTTCAAAATGATATATACCCGGAAGTGAAGCTCGTGAAAAATTCCACACGCAAGACGTGCTTTAATCCCGCAAATAACGATGTAAAACAATGGCGGTCCCAAGTGATTCCTTAACGCGAGCGACGATGGCGGCCATCGATCCTCGCGCCTCCGAACGGTACATTCACATTATGGGGCGGAACTCACCGGCGCCGAAAGCCTGCTGTCCATTCTTGTCGTCAGTCGGGGTGCCTTCTAAACTCGCGGGACCGCTGTCCGCCCCGCCGGTTGCACTGCAAAAATATTTTCCCTCGTGCATTCCATTGTTTATCCGAGACAAGATCGAATCGAGCGGGAACGCTCGCGAATGATAAATAGTGTTGGTGGGTCGTTGCATGTGAAATATCGAATTCCAAAAGTTTCAGCTTTTTATGGAACTTTTATTATAAAGTGAACGTCCTTCAAGATAATAGGTATTATCGCGTTAAAGTGGCGTGACTCAAGTACGTTTTTTTTCTTTGATTTTTGCCAAGTTACCAGCAAATTTGTGAAAACATAGAATGGAAGAAAAGTTAAAAACTTACGATTGACTTTTAATCTTTTCCCTTTTTTTTTTTAAATTTAATCGGAAAGAGAACAATTTTTCACGTTGAGAGACACAAAAGAGAAGACGGTGATTGAATTTTTTCAATTTTATTTCCTATACATTTTATTTCCTCAGAAATTATCCTGTCGCGATATGTCGTTGATACAAAAGCGGCATTTCACACACAAAGACCTAATATAAAGCGTAAATAAAAACACATATATACATTAACACCCACCTGCTAGCATCGTCATCCTTGACTTGCTCGCCGACGGGAGGCTGGCTTTCCTCAGGCTGACTCTCTTCCGTCTCGGCTGGTGGCGGGGCCTCACCCTCGGCAGCCCCGGTGCCGCGGCTTAATCCGGGTATACCGCCGCTCAACCAGCCGGACATTTGATTCTTTACTCCGGCGAACATCTCCAATTTATTGCCTTTCGGACTGCAAGACAGAGAACCAGAGAGCGTATCTTGAATCTGTGATCATTGCGGGGAGAAACGTGAATTTAAATGGAAATTCTGAATGAAAAGAGAGTTCTACGACTTCACTAAAACGCGAATTCACCCGCACAATATATCTATTTAAAAGGGATATTAAAACCTTAAAAGATTGGCTGGATATATTCGGAATATGGCAGTGAAATATGAGATAATCATTCGTATTAACGGGAGAATGCCAAAGTGATTAATCAGGCAACGCTAATAGCGTGGCTCTTCGCAGCAATGAAAGCAATAGAAACATTCCCAGTAAATGCAACTCAATTGTTATGCAATTTTCTGTGTATACTTGTGTATGTTATAAAACGCACACTCAATGGACAGCACAATGAAAAACGGATGTAAACGCCGCGCTGCACGATAAACCGCAACGCACAACCGATCGATTAATTAGATTAGTGCTGGAGAAATCGGATTACACGAGAAAGCGTGGGCTTGGGCAGAGTTACAAAACGCGACCTTTTTAATCACTTGCTCAAATTCGAGCGCATGAAAGACAGCCACGTCCTGAAAACATCCTTACTCGGTCAAAATTTAATGTCCCGCCGGAGAGACGTGAACGTTATAATTTATGTGCCGTGTCGCGCGGTAGGAAAGCGACTCTAATTATAATTATCAGTGCAAAGGACTTGCCGGGACAAAATTCCCATTGGCATTAATTGCGTTTGGGTTGTGAATTTCGGCGAAAATAGATAAGGACAGCGAGAATTTCGAAATGCGTTAGACACGAATTTGCAACGGTCGTACAACCCAATTTGCATACACAATAGAAACGATAATATTCCACTTTTTCTATTAATATATTCTCGGAAGATGTATGCACTTCAAAAATTTATTTATACAAAATCAAATTAACTGCAATATTTTCTTTACATATATAATTCAATTCCCCTAATCATTCGGTATACCTATATTATAGGTATACCTATATTATATAATTAGATTGTCACAGAAAAAATCAATTATTAACAAAATATTTTATTCTGACATACATTGACATAAAATATGAAATTATTTAATAAAATATTCGTTTTTTTATTATTTTATTTCTTAGACAAATTAATTAAGTTTTTTAAAGAAAAAGTTTAATTACATTTTAGAAAAGTACACATTAAAAACTGTATGATTTTTCTTAAATGCAATTATGTGTTTTGCTTGGCTCTCCAATTAATTTCTATTTGGCGTATAAAAGAATAAAAATAATATGATCGAAAGATATTTTATTATATAGTTTATATATTGCATTTGCATACAAGTCATCGAAAAATTAATAGAATTTAGACATTTTATTATGTCAAAATATGTCACAATAAAACATATCTAAATTCTATTAATTTTTCGATTATTTGCATGCATATGCAAAATGATCGAAGAAATCGAATTATAAAGAGGAAATATTACGTTTCAATTTTAAAAATATCTCGCTAACGCTCATACATTTTGTAAAATATATATAAAATATATCTCTGGAATGTGTACAGATAATACATACAAATATGTCGCGGTAAATATTTAATTCCAATCAAATTTTCATTGGGAGAAAACGCGCGAATTTGTCGCGTGTAAACGCGTTGTTGCTGCAAAAGTGCGCGCGTACTATGCGATTCTCATTTCGCGAAATTCCGTACGACTGTACATACATCCCGTCAGGTCGATCGAACGTGGAGCATCACGGCTGCACCGCGGAGGAGGATTGATTTCGCGCGAGAGCGGACGGCGGCGTCGTCGTTGTGTGCGCTGACATTTGACGCGTGCCGTGTCATTGCGCACACACGATTTCGCGCAGGAAGTACACACGAGTCCCACGGGGAGCATAGTCCACGCGATACCATCGTGAAATCGGCGGAAACGGTTTTTATGAGAGAATATTTTATTATGCAGTACACATTATACGACGCACACGACGTGCGATCACATATCGCACGATCGCGCGTTTCTCGAAATAATTGGGAAATGCAACAATCCGCATTAAAATGGATGCGAATAAGCGGAGGAGAGAGAATTTTTTTTTTACAGAATTTTATCGAAATTCCGTTTTTTTTTCATGTTGTGTAACAGCGAAAATAATACGCGCGCACGTGATATATGTGTGTGTTAAAAAAGAAGTAATCAATAAAAGATTGAAATAAATACAATCAATTTTCTAATAAAAATATAAAAATATACATGCTTCTTGCTATTTCTAGATTATAAATAAAACGCCAGTAAATAAAGTGTGGTTCACGTTAAAGGATGATAATATATATGCCACATGGTGTGAATCACACCTGGAGTGTAAATTTAAGCTAGACTATAACTTAAATAATAGATTTATAAATATTAGAAAGAATCACGCGGAAGAATATATTGCAATTTCTATTTCTATCACGTTTAACCATACGACGTTTTTGTTACTACGTTCCAAATTAACCGTTACAATCATAACAATGCATCGCGCTAGCACAAACGGTTCGATTTCAAATGAGTTTTTACACAATAAACTTAATAAACACACACATACACACACACGTGCACCCACGTATGTAAACTCTGTAATATTGCCCGTCGTAGAATATTTTATCGATACTACGAATCGCATTATAATTACTGTATATACAGAGTCATAGGGATCTGCCGTTGTGACACGTCAGAAACAGATAACACACTATTATCGGCAAAATATCTATTGTATTCATATCGAAGACTGGACGCAAAATTGTGTTTGTCATGAGTTTTATCGAACGGATAGATGAACATCTGAATGACTCATCCAATGCGAGATAATTCCGATAATTCTCTGATTGTCGAAGTCAAAAATATAAACATCGCTGCGGATAATTTAATTTAAATTCTCTAAAACATTTATTCTCCAATCCACATTCTGTTTAAAGTATAATAAAATATACTTTATATTTTTGTTTGTTAAGAAATATGTAATATAAAAATAAAGAGTCTATATTTAACAATGTATTGTATAAAATATTATTTCTCTGTCATTACATTCGCGATGTGCGCGATATTCGCGATAAGAAATATGACGCGAAATGACTTTTGAAAATTCAATCTCGATTACCAACGCGGTGATAAATCCCACATAAATAGGATTTGAATCGGGCGCGAGTGAAAAGAAAAGAACAAAAGGGAAAACATAAACATCGTTCAGGCATTTAAGCCCCGTTCTCTTTCAAGTGCGCTTTTCGCACATTGTCCGTACTTAAAACAAAATTAAATACATATTCGAAGTGACAGTTCGAAAAAGGAGGAAACGAGAGAGAAACAACTGTGGGAGGATGCAAAAAAATGCGGCCGAGGAGGAAACGGAAGCGAGCGCGCGTCGGCGAGATCTTGGCAATTGTACGAATTTGGCGTCGCGATCCGCGTCGCGCCAGTTTACGTAAGCCGGGCGTTATTGATCTAATCACGAAAAAGCATCCTCCGAGGCGAGGAGGTTATGCCGCTGATCTCGAACGCGGCGTAATTTTTCTCCGAGTGAACGAGGAGAACGGACGCGAGAGCTCCCTCGGGAGACGAGCTCCTCCGTGATCGCGACTTATCTCGTCAATTCTCGACGACTCTTGGCGTTTGACACTCGCGACAATCCGCTCGACTCCCAGATCCGGCTTCTCCTCGTCGCGCAACGTCGCGGACGTCGAACTTACCGGAACCGTGGCGAGATTACGAGAATATTACATTTTGACTACAGGGGTGGAGGGAGGGGCAAGGAGGGGAGAACCGTGAAGGGAAATCCGCGTCCATGCAAAGCGGAGTCTGGCGGAGTCGCGGGAGAGGATCGATTCGCGCGTAACTCCACGGCTGACAGCCGTTCGCGACGCAGTTTGCGACGACACGACATATGCATGACGTCGCGGCGAGTAACGGCGATGTAATGACGCGTAAACGACGACGACGACGACGACGACGGACGAACGAAATCCGCGAAAACACCCGTGGCGAATCGTCGTGGGAGAAGGGGGAGGGAGACTAGCAGACGAACTCCCTCCCCCGCCCATCGTCGCCCCGACCGTCGGAGCGACGACGTTGCAGGTTATGGCAGAACGGTCGTACCTGGTATTGTTCTTTTTCTCGAGATCCGCGCTGGTCTCGACGTCCGGGGACGTGGGTTTGGGCACGTCGGACGGCGCCTCGCCGCCGTTCTCGGGCTTCTTGCCCATCCAGTTGGACACCTGATTCGTCAGGCCGGAGAACATCTTGCGACGTGTGGCGTCGATCGGCTGAAATCTACTATCTCTCTCTCTCTCTCTCTCTCACGTTTTCTTTCTCACTTCCCCCGCTCGATCGAGAACGACGACGTTTCTCGCTTCACTCGACGGAAATCGCAACTGTCACCGAAGCCCTCGCGGGACCGGAGTGACGACGGATACAAGAATACCTCGTCCGTCCTCGCGACAGCGCAGCCACGAACTGCGTAAGCGGCACGTGCACGCGCGCAACTCGCGTCGCGCACCCGTCGCGACGCCAGCGACGCCCGGCCTTGCGCGGCCGGCCCGCGAACCACCGCCGACCATCGATTGCACGGCGCGGCGTCGCGCGCGGCCCGCGGCCGCGCGCCGCCTTGATTCTCGAATTTCGAGACTGCGAGAGATCGCGTGTGCTACGCTGACGGCAGCGATGACGGGACAATGCGCGAGACGATTCTTTGCGGGATAACGATGCGGATGCTCTGGTTCTCCAGATGATCGATTGGAATCTACAGCGAGAGCCAGATTTATATAGGAAAAACGAGTGAATTGATAG